CATTCCCCAGCCCACCCCCCCTTTTCAGTAATAGAAACATGACACTGGATGCTGAAAGTAGTCTGTTGTTTGCTTTATGCCTAGCATGTTTCCCCAACTTCCACTAACACAGTGGGAATTCTTCTGTTCTGGTGTTTGACTAATTCTGGCACTTAAAGGTTATGGGAACTAACATTATACCAGGGATAAATGACAACAAAAATGTAATGAAATCAAAAGAATTTCTCTCAGCATAGCTGATTAACTACAACATCAGGCTGAAAGTTAAGTAAACAAAAAGTCATGGGAAAAACTACACAAGGGAAAAGGGCTAGATACGGCTAGCCTATTCTCACAACAATCTTTATTGCAGTTCTAAAAAACAGTATTTGGAGCAAATCCTGTCAAACTGAAAACACAACCATTTGTAGCACTGTCAGGGGAGGAAGGGGGAAGCACTACAAAATGAGGGAAAGAAAGAACTTTACACCTGTATGGCAGATATTAGTGAACAGTGAACCTTGTTTTATAATTAAAATGCTGTCAATACATTAGAAGTTTTAAAATCTGCCAACGTAGACTAGATTTATAAGAATTTTTTCCTCGCTGTTGAGTCAAAGTGCTATCCATCCATCCATGAACTGACAGACAACTATATAGTATGAAATGTGCTGTTCCCACTGCCAATCTCTGTCTGGTCATTACTGCCCCCATTTCAAATCATTGCATTAATCAAACTTCCCTCCATGTTAATTGATACAAAGCCTAATAGATTTTATACCCCTTGAGGCTGTACTTAAACAGTGTCAAAAGAACAGTAAAAAGACTGCTTGACCATAGTAATTCTTTCTCACTCATAAATTGGGGACATGGCACACACACACACACACACACACAAAAGATATCAGGATGTTTATGCTGTTAAGTATGAATCGGGAACTACGTTTTTTTCCCCTGTAGTTTTCAGCTAATTTGACCACAAGCCCACAAGACTTAGTCACAAGCAGTTATACTGCCAGTGACAACAAGGTTTCCGTAATCGTGGGGGAAGGGTTATAAGAAAAGGCAAGCTTCCATAAGTTGGCACTCACCAAGGTTTTCATGATCAAAGCCTTAGTTTTCAAATATTATTTTATTCAAGCTCTATATTGAAAGAGATAAACATGTCTATACAACAGGGTTGTAAAGTAATCCTCCTGATTATTTTAACTTCCTATTAGTGTGAAGAATTCTGAAGACCTATCTAATTGGCTTGAGCTTCTTGGAGAAATGGGAGAGCCAGTTTGGTGTAGTGGTTAAGGCACTGGGCTAGAAACTGGGAGACCCTGAGTTTTAGTCTTGCCTTATGCATGAAGCCGGCTGGGTGACCTTGGGCCAGTCACTTTCTCTCAGTCCTAGGAAACAGGCAATGGCAAACCACTTCCGAAACCTTGCCAAGAAAATTGCAGGGACTAGTCCAGGCACTTGCCAGGAATCAACACTGACTTGAAGGCACACAAACCATACCATCTTGGAGTTATAGGTAATGTTTGATAGCCAATATTCTTCACACAGAAATCTTGTGAAATGGGGTAGATTGGAAAACAGTAACTTTGAACTTTGATCAGAAATTTGAGCTTAAGGGGAAAAAACAAGTTATTCTATTTTTATAATACTGTATATCTGTATATTATGCATTTCTATTTCTGTGTCCTGAGCAGGGCTCTTCATCTTCTATAACAAATGCTGATTTTACGTCTTTCCATTTCCCCATGCCCTCATTCTTCCATCTGTTTGTTGCTGTTGTTGTAACAATCCATGCAAATTCATCTAAATTAATATTTATCTGGCACCTTATTTTATTTTTAAGAAAATATACAATCTCTATCTCTACAGTTTCTCCAACTCTTTCTCCACAGTTAGAGATGGACTAAAGATATGAAGTTGTGGAGACTAATCACTCTTCAGCCATGAAATTAATATTGATTCAAAAGTAATTATACAACTAAAATAACATATTTGCAAGGTGGTTTATTAGGGACTAATTCCTCTGAATGAATAATCTATAGGAATATCAGAATTTATAAATATATCCTCTTAGCTAAGACTATTAGGTTGCATTTCTAATGTTCAACTTCCTAGCTGATAGTGACCTCCTCATCTAATCATGCCCATGGCTCATATTCTCTGGAGGAAAAAATACACAGAATGTTTTTTTATGCATTACCCTCACCATCTATTGGTTGTACAGTTCCTAATACACAGTGGACAACCATTTCTGCTGATTCTATTTAAAGAAAATGACAATGAAAAAGTGATGCATGAACACTGTCAATAACATGCCAAGCTAAAAGTAAAAATGTACACAAAATCATCATGTAAAAACATTAATTTATTCTTATTACTTGCAGGCATTATTAAAATTAATGAGATGTTTGGATGTATAAATCTTATTGGCCAACTGCTGCCAGTCCTAACAAAGCAC